AGATAAAGAACAGTCTCAAGAAGAAAGAAACAAAGCAATCATTCTTTGGACACTTCTCTTCCACGTAAATCTATGTTCATTTTTTTTCTTCAAAATTAGTTCAGGTGAGCAGAAGAAGATCTATGAGCCTAAATAGAATGACTGCTTCGGAAAATGTCTGCAAAAATTGATCGAGATTTTGGAAGTTGATAATTGTTTTCAAAGACTTATTTGCCACGTCCTATGATCCAACATTGACAACACCGATTACAGCAGCAACCAAATCAACAGCGACAACGACGACATCAGCAACAACCGGAGGAACGACAATATTAAGGCAACCGACAGCGATACTCCTATGTAAATGCAGCAAATACTGCATTTTGTTAACGTCCTTTCTGTTTCACTCTCGCTGTCCTTTTCTGTTTTTAGTGGCATCTTTGAAACTGCTAAATCCACTAGTTGCTTTAATGTTCCCCCCTCCTCCCCTCACCAAAAAAAAATGTTCATATGTGTTCGATGCCAGTACAACGGCTCCAGCAACAACAAACCTTCAAAACATTTATTTAGTATACCCTTATGTAATATGATTGAAGCCAAAAAGAACAAAAGAAAAAATAAAAAAAAAAGGAAGACCCCTTGTACTTCTCAATCCAAATTCCACAAAAAACCCGCATGTCGTAAACCATCAATTTGTTTTCGTATCTGTTCTCAAAAAATTGAGAAAGATATTTTACGTACTGCGTAATCCCAACGTTTTTTCTCTACCGTTCAGCCTACGATTTGCAATTATATTTTATTGAAAAAATTAATGCAAAACCCTCCTCCTTCCCCCTTTTTTTTTCCCCCCTCCAAAAAAAAAATAAAAAAATGAAGAGAATTATATTCGGACAGACAAATGAGACACCTAAAGCGATTTTGTTGTTGCTGCTGCTGCTGTTGCTGCCGTTATTGTTGTGGTAGTGATGAAGGCGACGATGACGATGACTGTGGTGGTGATGGTGGAAGTTGTGGTGATTATAATGATGATGGTGGCGGATTATTGTTGAACAGGAATAATTTATTTAAATTAAATCAGCTAATCGTTGGAAAAAAAAAAGTTTTAGACAAAAGTTTTGTTCTTTTTTATTCTTTCTCTCTTTTTTTGCTCATTTTCATCTGCTTAAATTCTCATCGTCATCTTTATTTCTGTCGCGAATTTTTTCTTCTTTTGAACTACACTCTTCATTCCATGGAAGGTCTTTTTTTTTTAAAGAATTTAATACCAAAATTGTTACTGCAGCTACCACCGCCGCTACCGCTCCTGCTGTTATCGATGGTAGTGGTTATAAAGATGGTATTTTTATCATCGTCGTCAGCATAAAAATCATAAAGCATTCAAAAAAAAAAAAAGAATGAGTAAGTAAATAAAGTAAAATAAAAAAAAAAGAGGCAGAAATTGGCAGCTGAATCAACTCGCTTTAAAATGCAAAAACTTTTCCTTTTTTCTGGTAGATACTGTTGTTCATTTAGGTTCTAAACATTATCAATTTAACAATACCACTACCGTCGTCAGTAACACCAGTACCAACAGCAGCAACAGCGGTAATATACCAGAATACATAACAACAAACAATAAATAGAACCATACCAAAAAAACTGTTTCATCTACTGTCCCGTCTACCAATCTGTTTTTATAAAGCATTCTATCTTTATAGTTTATATAATTTCCAATTTTTTTTTTTTTGTTGTTATTGATGACAATATCATCGTCATCAGTATTTCTGCAATTAGCTCATAGCATCAAGGAAACTATAAGTTTTCTAATTTCTTGTTTTTTTTTCCCGGCGACTTTTTCTTTTTAAATTAATTACAACACGAATAACTTAACTAAGAACAAACAACAACGAACTTACGGAGCAATATTTAGACCAATAAAAAATTGTGCGACATCATGATCAGTTGCTTGCCACGGAAGGCCTCGAGCCCGAACAACAACGGCCGAATCTACTGTTGATTCGCGCCAACTGAAACACTAAACTGCATTCAACAGCACCAGAAAAATATAAATTTTAGATGACTTTATTTTTTAAAAAAAAATTAGTCAGTGAATAAAAAAAAATAACGAAGAGAAGCAAAACAGCATTGTTTCCAGGTATTTGCTATTAGTAAATCATTCATTCATTCATTCATTCATTGATTTACTCATTTAATCAATAACTGTATTTCTGCTTCATTTAAAAAACAGCGGTTATCGCATTTACCCATGATCATCGCCATCAGATTTTGTGATTTCAGTCACCTTAGAGGAGAGGCCAGAGGCGGAAGAGGGAGGAAACAAAACAGATTAATCAACCAACTAAACAACTAACTAGCTTGAGTGCATTTTTTTGTTGCTGTTGGTGATGATTAGTTTAAGCAATAAAATTTTTTAACAACAACATCGCTTTTTTCCTAACTCTTTTTTTTTTTTTTTTTTTTGTGTGTGTGTGTGTCACTCTTTGTTGATCAAAGATGACGATATAGATCAAAACTTCTGCGATCAGACAGAGAAATGGAAAAGAAGGAAAAGAAAAAAAAAGAATCATCAGTTGTAATTTATTCAATTCAAAACAGAAGGAAATCTTTCCATCATTAAATTCTTTCGTGCCTCTTTCATTAAAAAAAAAAAAAAATCATGTTGATGGCGGTCAGCTGATAGTTTGTCTGTTTGTATTGACCATTAACACTACCATCATCGACAGCAGCAGCAACAACGACGATAACATTAACAGCAAAAATGATGACGATGATAACGACAGTAATTGACAAGAGAACACTGTCTTCAAAGGGTTTACACATTTGAAAACACAGTTTATAACCATAGCCAAAATTTCAGATAATTTTTTAATTTTCTAGCCAACCAAATAAATCAACTCACCAGACAGCATGCTGCAATTCGGTTCTAACTTCTTCAACTTCATATGCAAAATTTTCATCCTCTGAAACAGCACTATATAACAGCACCAGTGAAACAACGCTACTATACTTTAAACAACTTTCTGACCATAAATATTTCAAAAAAAAAAAAATAAGACAGGTAAAAATTTAGAAAAGAACGTAATGAAACAGGCAAATAAAATCAAACAAAAATAAAATAATCAATGATAAAATTTTGAGTCTAACAGAATTATATATCTGCGATTCATCTTTCCATCCACCTATCTTATTGTATATCTCAGAAAAAAGAGAGAGAGGGGGGAGAAAGAGATGAAAAAGAAAAACAGAAGAAGTTGTAAATGATGACTCAATAAATGTAAAATTTTTTTCAACAACAACCAAACGTTAGTGATTCTTTTTTGCAACCATAAAGATCGTCTGTATGCAAAAATATTACAAAAGTCTGATTAAAACAATACAGTTATTGTTGCAAATCTTCAAAAAGTATAAAAAACTTTTTTTCAGTGATTTCAACTCTTTTAACAAATTTATTTTCAAATTACAATAATTTGAGAGAAAAAAAAGCACAAAATGTTGTATGTAAGGATGTGATTAAGTGTCAGAAGAAGAAACAGAAGGATAAGTAGAGGAAAAAAAAAAGATAAAGGCAGTAGTAATGTAGACTGCCGATTGAAGACGGGGAAAGGTTCGGTATAAAAAGAAGAAATCCCGAACCGTTTGGTTTGTACCATTAAAGACGAACGGCACC